TGAGTTGCTCTACGAAAGGATTTTATGTATTTATTACTTTAATTTCTTTTTTTTTTTTTGAAAATGAGTCTCCCTCTGTCCTCCAGGCTGGAGTGCAGTAGGTGTGATCTTAGCTCACTGCAGCCTTTGCCTCATAGGTTCAAGCAGTTCTGCCTGAGCCTCCTGGGTAGCTGGGATTACAGGCACCCACCACCACGCCCGGCTAATTTTTTTAATTTCTAGTAAAGATGGGGTTTCACCATGTTGGCCAGGCTGGTCTTGAACTCCTGACCTCAAGTGATTCGCCCGCCTCGGCTTCCCAAAGTACTGGGATTACATGCATGAGCCGCACACTCTGCCTAGCCCTGTTTTCGTTTTTTGACTATTATAAATAATGCTGCTGTGGATATTTGTGTGCAATATTTTGTGTGGGTATTTGTTTTCAGTTCTCTTGGATATTATACCTAGGAATTTTTATTGTGGTCAGGAGATACTTTCTATGATTTAAATGTTTAAGTTTATTAAGAATTGTTTTGGCCGGGCATGGTGGCTCTTGCCTGTAATCCCAGCACTTTGGGAGGCCAATGAGGTCAGGAGATTGAGACCATCCTGGCTAACACAGTGAAACCCCGTCTCTACTAAAAATATAAAAAATTAGCCGGGCATGGTGGTGGGCACCTGTGGTCTCAGCTACTTGGGAGGCTGAGGCAGGAGAATTGCTTGAACCTGGGAGACGGAGGTTGCAGTGAGCTGAGATCGTGCCACTGCACTCCAGCCTGGGCGACAGAGTAACACTCTCTTCCCCCCCGCCGCCAAAAAAAAAAAAATAATTTTTTTATGGCCTACCGTGTGGTCTGTCCTGAAGATTATTCCATGTGTACTTGGGAAGAATGTGTATTCTGCTGTTGTGGGGTAAAGTGTTCTGTTGGTTTATAGCGGTGTTCAATTCCCCTACTTTCGGCCTTCTGTGTAGTTGTTTTATTATTGAAAGTAGGATATTAGGCCGGGCGCGGTGGCTCAAGCCTGTAATCCCAGCACTTTGGGAGGCCAAGACGGGCGGATCACGAGGTCAGGAGATCGAGACCATCCTGGCTAACACGGTGAAACCCCGTCTCTACTAAAAATACAAAAAAATTAGCCGGGCGTGGTAGCGGCGCCTGTAGTCCCAGCTACTCGGGAGGCTGAGGCAGGAGAATGGCATGAACCCGGGAGGCGGAGCTTGCAGTGAGCTGAGATCGCGCCACTGCACCCCAGCCTGGGCGACAGAGCAAGACTCCGTCTAAAAAAAAAAAAAAAAGAAAGTAGGCTATTAGATCGGGCGTGGTGGTTTATGCCTGTAATCCCAGCACTTTGGGAGGCCAAGGCAGGCCTTCTGCACTTGATATTTTTAGACTGTGATTGACGGCAGTTAGCTGAAAATGGAAAATGAAATCGATAAGGGGAAACTACGCTACATTTATTGTAACATGTTTTGAAATGTTAGAGGGTGTAGAGGGGAGAGAGAGAGATTTATTAATTGGTACACATATACAGCTTGATAGAATAAATTAGGCTTAGTGTTGGGTGACTATAGCTTACAGTAATCTTTTTCTTTTTTTTTTTGTTTGAGACGGAGTCTCACTCTGTTGCCCAGGCTGGAGTGCAGTGGCCGGATCTTAGCTCACTGCAAGCTCCGCCTCCCAGGTTTATGCCATTCTCCTGCCTCAGCCTCCCAAGTAGCTGGGACTACAGGCGCCTGCCACCTCACCGGGCTAGTTTTTTTGTATTTTTTAGTAGAGACGGGGTTTCACCATGTTAGCCAGGATGCTCTCAATCTCCTGACCTCGTGATCCGCCCGTCTCAGCCTCCCAAAGTGCTGGGATTACAGGCTTGAGCCACCGCACCCGGCTAGTTTACAGTAATTTATGGTATATTTCAAAATAGCTAGAAGAGAATAATTGGAATGTTTCGAGCAAAAAGACAAGCATTTAAGGAGATAGATATCCTAGTTATGCTGATTTGATCTTTACAAATTGTATAAATTATCACATGTACCCCCAATATACCCATATATACATGTGTTATGCATCAATTAAAACAATTTTTGAAAGAAGTATGCATATATTGTGGAATAGCTAAATCCAACTAATTAACATATGTATTACTTCACATACTAACCATTTTTTTCTGGCCAGTATACTTAAAATCTACTTTCTTAGCAATTTTCAAGAATATTATACATTACTGTACAATGTATTTAGTATACATAACTGTACATAGCATATAACTATACATACTATACATGTTATTCTGTCATGTTATACAGTAGAACTCTGGAATTCATTCCCCCATCTGACGGAAATTTTTTGTTCTTTGACTGACATCTGTGTTATAGTTTCCTGATGATTGGATCTGTCTTTTTTTTTTTTTTTGAGACAGAGTCTCACTCTGTCACCCAGGCTAGAGTGCAGTGGCGCTATCTAGGCTCACTGCAACCTCCGCCTCCCGAGTTCCAGCGATTCTCCTGCTTCAGCCTCCCGAGTAGCTGGGTTTATAGGCTTATGCCACCAAGCACAGCTAATTTTTATATTTTTAGTAGACATGGTGTTTCATCATGTTGACCAGGCTGGTCTCAAATTCCTGACCTCAAGTGATCCGTCTGCCTTGGTCTCCCAGAGTTCTGGGATTACAGGTGTGAGCCACTGCGCCCGGCCGGTGATTGATTCTTGCGTCAATATATAATATCTTTGTCTCTTGTGCTTTTTGACTTAAAGTTTATCTGTGTGACTTAAAGTCACTTAAGTCTGATATTAGTGTAACTAACCGAGCTCTCTTTTAGTACTGTTTGCATGGAATATCTTTTTGCATACTTGCATTTTCAACCTATTTTTGTTTTTGGATATGAAGTGAGTCTCTTCTAGATACCATAAGGTAGTTGAATCATGTTTTTTAAATCTATATTGCCAACCTCTGTCTTTTGGTTAGAGAATTTAATCCATTTATATTTAAACCAATTACTGATAAGGAGTGACTTCTGCCATTTTGCTATTTGTTTTCTATATATTTTTCTTTTTCTTCCATTAATGCCGCCTTTTGTGTTTATTTTCTTGTAGTGTATTGTTTTAATTGCCTCCTCATTTCCTTTTTTTTTTTTTTTTGAGACAGTCTCGCTCTGTCGCCCAGGCTGGAGTGCAGTGGCATGATCTCAGCTCACTGCAACCTCCGCCTCCCAGGTTCATGCCATTCTCCTGCCTCAACCTCCCGAGTAACTGGAACTACAGGCGCCCGCCACCATGCCTGGCTAATTTTTTGTATTTTTAGTGGAGACGGGGTTTCACCGTGTTAGCCAGAATGGTCTCAATCTCCTGACCTCGTGATGCGCCCACCTTGGCCTCCCAAAGTGCTGGGATTACAGGTGTGAGCCACCGTGCCTGACCCCTCTTGTGTATATTTTAAAGTTATTTCCATAGTAATTACCCTGGAGATTATAATTTATATCTTTAATTAATTAATTTTGAGACAGAGTTTCACTCTGTCACCCAGGCTGGGCTCACTGCAACCTCCACCTCCTGGGTTCAAGTGATTCTCCTGCCCCAGCCTCCTGAGGAGCTGGGATTACGGGCGTGTACCACCATGCCTGGCTAATTTTTTTTGTATTTTTAGTAGAGATGGGGTTTTACCATGTTGGCCAGGCTGGTCTTGAACTCCTGACCTCAGGTGACCCACCTCTTCAGCCTCCCAAAGTGCTGGGATTACAGGCATGAGCCACCACACCCAGCCTCATTATTGTAAAATTTTAATGTTTTAACTATTTATTGACCGTATGTCATAGTCATGTTGATTTGAATTTCTTTCACTATTGCATTTGAATCTTGGTATTTGTTTTTTGTAAATTGCTGTTTCCTTTGATCATTAGACAGTTTATTAGCCTTTCATCTGTGTTGCAGTTTTTCTGAGTCTGGGCCTGATCCAATGGGAGACGTCTCTGTGTGTGGCATGGTCCATCTTGTCTGGAGACAGGCAGTTCCTCCTACCAGAGAACGCTTGTTGGGCCAGCCCCAGGGCCTCTTAAATCACTCATTCATTCAGCAGAAATGCACAGATGCCTCCTGTGGGCCAGGTCTGTGCTGGTGCTTGGGAAATGGCAGGAACCAGACATTCCTGTCCCACACCTTGTGAACAGACAGACTTACAGGGTGGCACCAAGTAAGTAAGATGGGTGGGGTGTCATCTCAGAACATAGCTTTTCTGCTGAGCTGTGCTGGTTTGGTTTTGTTTTTGTTTTTGGGTTTTTTGTTTGTTTGTTTGAGACAGAGTCTTGCTCTGTCGCCAGGCTGGAGTGCAGTGGCACCATCTCGGCTCACTGCAACCTCTACCTCCCGGGTTCAAGCAATGCTCCTGCCTCATCCTCCCAAGTAGCTAGGACTGAGGCACATGCCGCCATGACCAGTTAATTTTTTTCTTTTTTTTTTGTATTTTAGTAGAGATGGGGTTTCACTGTATTGCCCAGGCTGGTCTTGACCTCCTGAGCTCAGGCAATCCGCTCGCCTCGGCCTCCCAAAGTGCTAGAATTACAGGCGTGAGCCACCGCGCCCAGTTGCTGGTTTTAATTTTGTATGGGTTTAGAAAAATGTTGATGTTGGCTGGGTGCCATGGCGCGTGTCTGTAGTCCCAGCTACTCAGGAGGCTGAGACAGGAGAATCGCTTGAACCCTAGAGGTGGCGGTTGCAGTGAGCCAAGATCGCGCCACTGCACTCCAGCCTGGGCGACAGAGTGAGACTCTATCTCAAAAAAAAAAAAAAAATTGATGTCCTCATATTTGCCCATCATGTCCTTGAAATGAGAAGTCAGATTGTTCCCTCCATCTCAGCAACTCGACCTTGGTGGGATCAGGAGGGCCAGTCCTCAGGGCAGACCTGGAGAAGGAATCGCTCTTGAGCACAGTGGGCCCAGGCCCTCCTCTGTGGGAAGCACAGGGTTTAGAACCTTTAGCTTTCTTCTGGAGGTTCACCTCACCTGACAGGCACTTCCTTCCAGAACAGATGTCCCACTGCTTGCAGATGGCTGAGCCCCAGGAAACAGTGCTAGCACTTCCTCCGAGAGAAGGTAGGCGTCTCTCACCTGCACAGGTAAATCCCCACTGAGGTTTGGGGGCAAGAGGAAACGGAGAGCCTGTGGCAGAAGGATTTCCCTTGCATCCTTCCCGCAGCAACCCCGAGTTGTTCTCTCACCCATTTGCTCCTCTCCTTACTCAGTGTGGCTTGACGTCTGGGACGGTGGCAGGTGGGCAGGGGGCCCACAGTATTCTGTCCTGTTTGCAGGGGTGCAGGCAGCCGCCACCGTGCCCATCCGCCTGTCCGGCCTGGAGGATGGCTTGTCAGACCATCCCCTGGACCAGGGGCCCCGCTGCCCTGCCCGGCGGCCCTGCAGCCCTGCCTCGGCTCCAGCTCCTACATCACCGAAGAAGCCCAAGATGCAGGCGCCCGGGGACACGTTTCCCACCGACTGGAGCCCCCCGCCCGTGGAGTTCCTCAACCCAAGGGTGCTGCAGGGCAGTCAGGAGGCCCCGGCCCAGAGGTGGGTGGGTGTGTCGGGCCCCCAGG